TACCTGTTGTATTGAAAGGCATGGTGACTTCTCCAGTCGCAGACACAGCAACCAACCCACAGGTGCCTTTGGGAACACGGTCATCCACAACATAGGATGCTGCTTCCTTGAGAGAAAGGCCTCTGAACTCCATAAGAGCAGCTACATCTCTTGCAACAGTGCCACGGATTATTGATTCTCCTTTGCCGGTAGCAGAGACTGCACAGAGATGGTTGGCATAAGTTCCAGCACCTATGATAGGTGTGTCTCCAATCCTACCCACCATTTTGTTGACTAATCCACCAGTAGAAGTTGCAGAGGCTAAATTTCCGCAACTGTCAACAGCCACACAGCCAACTGTTCCAATTTGGCTATCACCGTTAGCGTCAGCAGCTGTAGTTTCCTTATTTGAATTAGCAGTAATAGGTTGGGTATAATCAATCTGTGGATTCATTACAAAGTTCAAGTCAGGTGACAGATCTTGTCCCATCTCTTTAAGTTAAAAGCTCTTCCCATACCAGTGAAATAGAATTCAATCTCAGGTCCTAGCTAACATTTCCATAAGATTTGTACAAGCTAAGATATCGAGATAATCAAAATCTTGAAGAAGTAACAAACTTGTAATGAGAATCTTATGTTAAAGTTCCTGTTAATATGAGATTTTTCACAGCAAATCTAAAGAAATAAGCAGTAAAAAAGACTTTGTCAAACAATGTTCTCTCAGCATATTTGGCAGATGAGCTTTCTTGATGGTGGCTGGAGTTGCCATACAGAGCTGATGATTGAGATGAATGCAATGCTGGAAGCAATCTACTGACATATTCAAAGCATTAAAATGATAGTAGATAAGAAGGGTACCTGGACCCTATTGGCTTCTTTTGCCTGATGTAGCCTCTCGATATTTTCAGAAGTAATAAAATGACTCGAATCTATAGTCTCAACACCCTGAAATTTTTAAGATAGTCAGGTGAATAAAGAGCTGATAAAGACAGTCAACATCCAACTATAGGAGTTTTTCCAGGAAGAGTGAGTCTAAGTAAGGGAATGAAAAGGGATAATTTGATCCCCATGACAAAATATTAGTTTTCTTCATGAAATCACTCGCGTTCTGTCCATCCTTCAATTATATTTTATTGTAAGGACAAAATAATCTCTTTCCTTTCCTTCCTTCCCTCCTCTTCCCTCTTCCCAACAGAGGTTGATGAAATTCATCCAAACTAAAAGTAAAGTGCAATGAACAATGAAATTAGAAAATAGTAGTTCATGAAACAAGGAGTTAAATGGGATTAGTCAAGACAGCATATCTCCAATTCTCAAGCAAAGAATAAAGAAAGAGCTAAATCATGATTTTGGTATCATGCCATGCTCGTAATTACACTGACTTGGAGTAAAACCTTAAAAGCGATACCTATATTTAAGAGCCAGCATTTAGATTCCAAACCAACAAAAAGAAAATACTTAAGAAGGAAACTAATGTAGCCTGTAACAGGAACCAAAAACGTAAGCCAACGAGCCAGTGAGCTCAACAAATGAAGGTTCATACTAAAAATGATTAAATTAATTAAATCACTATGCAAAGATTTCAGAGATGACAGGAAGTGCCAATGGAGAACATGCACTTCTGAGACGACCTTTAATATTCAATAGGGGGAATATAAGGGTAGTAAAGCATGATTTGATATATAACTGACTTGTTCTCTTGCAAAAGCCTCTGCTCCATCAAATGCAAGATATATATGAGGAGTCTTCTCCATAACCAATCGTGCCAAAGATATGGCATTGACTACAGTTGTGAGGCCAGAAACAGCTCCGCACTTCATTGTATTACCATCCATGATACAGGCTTCCATTTCAATTGTGCCTGCAGTTGTTAAGACAGATCCTTTACCCGCATTAAAGTTTGGGTGATTTTCTAGTTCGCGAACCTGTAGAGGTGAAAAGCAGCTTTAGCAAGTTAAAAGGGAATGCTCATCAAATCTACATTCACAATCATTCACCCATAAGCGAATTACTAATGCCCACAATTGATCCAGACTACTAATGTTTCAGTTTGCTTGCAACAAAGAATTTCTTAACCAAGTTTCCATGCAATTTTTAACTGACTCATATAGATTACAGCATGCTTCCCCATTATTGCACTCAACTATAAGTCATCATTATACTAACTGATCATGATTTCTCAACAAGCAAAATAACGCACACTGCAATCTATTGTCTTTGCATGCTCTAACACGACTCCTCATACACCAACCCACTAGATATGAATTCGAGAGCTTCGGTAAAAATGAAATAATAAGTTGAGATGATTATCTCAAAATTTTAAACTAATTGGGAAGGTTATAATCAATTATTTATAGTTTAACAAACATTTTTCTAGAAATTTTGTAGTACTAACAAGATTTCTACAATTATTTAGTAACTCTGAGGAGCAATAAGTAATTATCCCACAATATTATCCGATTACTACCGTGTTACTATCAAATGCTAACAACTGAGCAGGTGACTTCAAGGCATAATGTCTCTGGAGGCACCAAGGAGTTTTCCCACTTCAGGCCATCGTTGCAACCACTCCGAGATTTCAAAATGCAGGAACACCAAATCTCACCATTAAGAGCCCCTTTGGCCAACTTTTAGTTGTAGGTTTTGCGAGTTCAAAATTTTTTTTACAATGTTTGACTTTTATTAAAAATTTACACTTAAAATTTGAAAATTCAATTTCTCCAAGCAGGAAACCTCTTTTTTTGAAAAAAAAAAAAAAAAAAATTTATAGCACTTTCTATACTTATTTCCACTAATAACTATTGAGTTTTAACAAAAATGCAGACTCACAGCACAAGCTCCCATGCACCCAAAGGCCTGTTAAAAATGAAGTTGATGGCTTATTGAATCAGGAGAATGAGACAATTAAACTAATAACTATGCGCTTGCGGCTCATTAATAAGCAAAAGGCAGGATTATCGGCTCTAATAATTTCTTGAAGACCATGTCCATTTCAACACAAATCAACCCTACGTAAACCTTTCAATGGCTCCCAAGTCTCAATTTACAGGGGAAAAAGGAAGTTGAACAACTAATCAAAGCAACAAAGAAAAGCTTAGAGAGAGAGAGAGAGAGGCATACGACGAGCTCGACAACGTCAAGGGCATTTTTGTTGGCTTTGAGAGCGGCGACACCGACGTTAAGGCAGTGTTTCAGAGCAGCTTCACGTGGCAGGCGGCGTTCCGCCGGCAAATTCAACGGGATGTCTCCGGCGCCGCCGTGCAAAGCTATTGCCCACCCCATTAATTGTCTCTTTCTCCTCTCTCGGGAGTGCACCAATACGTTTAATATAGCAGAGAGAGAGAGAGAGAGAGAGAGAGAGAGAGAGTGCATCTGCCGGACTGCCCCGAGATCGCTGCTGACTTCCATTGTCAACTTGTCAATTGTTAATGCAAAATACAAAAACTGCCACGTGCGGGATTTCTTTTTATCTTTTGTTTTGTTTTATTATTTTTAATGTAATTAGTATTTTTAAAAAGTTTAATGTTGTAAATAAAATTCATATTTATTAAAGAATTTATTGAATTTAATTGAATAACCGCAATTAAAAGAAACTTAGAATAAATTTTAATTTCCTTTTATTTGTTCACAAAAAAAATTATTATATGAAATTTATTTTTAAATAAATTCATGTACTTTGAAGATGCTAATTAAAATAATTCAATTTGTTATAAATTTTATTTTTTTAAAATATAATGTACAAATGGTAATGATGAATGCCATTTTATTTATATATTAATTATTTTGTACATTTAATATAGACTTATATAATATTGTACTTTATCAATGAATTAAAAAATAATTCACTAATAAAATTAATAAAAAATATTTTTATTAAATTATACAATAATTTATTTACTATGCTCGTGTTACAATAAAATCAAAACTCAATAAAATTTAAGCATCAATAGAAAATTTACAAGTTGGCACGTTTTTTTATATTAATTTCTTAATTCTAAGATAAACTTGTTTTAAACTATATTAATCAAATAAAAATTATAAATTATTTTATTTATATTATAAAATAAATCAAAGAAAAATAAATTTACGATAAAATAACATATAATTTGAGACTGCTTGTTAGTAAAAAAGAACGAATTTTAGGGTATGGATTCAGAAAATTTCAAGTGTGGAAACAAGTTTGTGAAGGATCCAAAATATTAGGATTTCAAAAATTATATATTTGTTCATACGTTTCATCAGTTGATTATATAATATTATGCCTTGTAAAAATAAAATATGTAAAGATGTATATATAATTTCTGATATTCATCGAAGACAACAGTCTCCATGAAGGTTGCATGGGAAAAGCTGCGTGTCCCTGGAGATCTCCCCCATCATCAATACACCAAACTTGCGTGTACAGATCCAATTCCAATGCCATTCTTTATATTTGATATAAATATACTTGTCCAAAAAATTGCTAAAATACCAAATAATTACCATTCTAAAACTTAAATTCCTGCACTTTTTCATGAGATTGAAGACTGAAGAACAGAAAATAAAACTGTATTTTATGTCTGATATAATTATACAGTTATATACGGAAACAAAGTGCTTTCATCTACTAAGAAGAACCTCTAATTATATTTATCAGGGGCCAATCCAAACTAATATCTCTGTACATATGTAATGGAGAAATACAAGATGCATGAGAAGGGATATTTCGAGGGAGGACAGACTTTCTACCCAGTAAGGAGGAGGAAGAAAAAGGGAGATGGGTGAGTCACCAAAATTCTCCATCTCCAGTGTCTTAACACTAGTAATTGCATAGC